TGCTTGAGTGTTGTAAAACTTCCCCTGCTACTCCCCCCTGCACCCTTAAGTTAGAGGTGCTGCCTTAAAAGCAATTCCTTTTGTATAGGCTTCCAGTAGCAGGAAAACAACTTTTTTTTTTTTTTTGAAATAATGAAGTCTTCTGAGACTCCATAGGGAATTTTTAACAGGCTTGTCCCAGAAGTTGTTACTGCATAGTTATGATCTGACTGAAGGGTTAATAATGGGTTGAGAAATGTTGGGGTGTTGTCTTACTAATAACACCTTCCTCTCTCTGGGCACACCTTTCTGCCTGCCTGCCTGTGCTGCCGAGCCGCACTGGATGCTCAGCTCCCGATTACATCACTTGAGCAGTTGCCAAATGACTTTTTTTTTTTTTTTTTTTGCGAGAGACCCAAATACAAAAGGAATTGCTCTTCCTAACCTTCAAGTACTTGTGACTAGCAGTTAAGAAGCACTAATGGAACTTGCCAAAGACAATGCCTCCGAAGTAACTGAATACATTAAGGCACAAGGCTGCTTGTAAACCTTGTGCTGAAATCTTGGGGGTTGCAGTTGACCAAATAAATGCAGAAAAAAACAGATTCGCTTGATTTGCTTCTGCGCTGCCCTTTCCCTGCAGTAGCATGGAAACTAGTCTAAGCCAAAAGACTGAATGACTGAAATTACTGCTCCTTAGCTGCTATGGGAGAACTGGGACACTTGTAGAACGGTACGTAGAAGTGCTGCTTTTGGCAAGGTGGTGTCTTGAAAGGCAGGTTGACCCTCATCTCTAGAGCCCAGCAGCTGGGGGAGAAGAGAAGGTAGTATTAAGACAAGTGTTTGTAACAAGTGACTTCTGCACTGATGTCGATGCAGTAATACCTATTCCCGAATGCTTCCCTTCACTGCAGCTGGGGATACGTTCACCCTCATCTGCTCGGAGTGCCAGAACTCTGTCACCATTTGGCTGAAGGATGGGTGGCTGGGACCAACTTCTTAAGCAATCTCTTCATTTTCAAGAGGCAAAACCCTGGGAAGGTAAGAATGTACAGACCTCAGCAAATAAAATGTGTGGTGTGGAGCCTCTGCTGACCACTAGTATCCTTTTGTGGTGGCATCCAGCGTTGGCTGAATGCATTCAGACATGGGAGGTTACCACGGGAGGTCTCCCACAACAACATGGCTATTAAGTGGTGGAGAGGAATAGAAAGCACAGGCAGAATATTCAGGTTGTGGAGGAGGGAGGAGAAAACGAGTGTCGGCATGTTGACTGCACTAGTGAAGTGAAAATGTAGCTGCTCCTTCTGGAGGTTTCTAGCTTTTTAAAGTGTCTGTCAAACTCATCTCCCTCGTTGGATTTTAACAGTTTGAGAAAGTGTGTCAAGCTTTTTTTTTTCCCTTCTTTTTTTGAGGCTTATGCAAAGAGGAACCTGTAACACGGTGGTACTGTCCTTGTCCTTTTCACCTCGAAGAGTTCTGTCTTCTTTAGCCTCTTCCTTGCTTTTAGCTTACCTGCTTTGGGAAGCTCCTCATATTCTGAGGCAGAGGCCTTGGTATGCTGCCTGTCGCTCTGAGGCCAGATACCGCCTGTGTCTGAAGCTAGTCCTAGAGCAGGGTAGTTGAATGCTAGGAAGGCTTCGCTGTCCTTAGAATTATGACTTGACCTAGAATCTGCAGAGAACAAGACAGTCGAGAACTGAGTGAATCCACTGCTTAACCTTGGAAACTCACTGTCTCCCATGTCTTCAGTTTTGCCTTCTAGCGTGTGGCGTCTTTACTTTCCTGGCTGTCCTGGGCCGGTATATCCCTGGACTCTTGCTCTCATACTTGCTGTGTAAGTAGATCCCTGTGCCAATATGGACTTACAAGTGAAAAGGGGTAGAGATGAGTGGGATCTGAATGTCCGAGGGGTGGGGCTCTTCTGCTCAAAAGGAAAGCTTGTGTGAATGGCTTTAAAATTTAAAATAATACATTCTGCCTGGAATGTGGTGGTTCTTGACCAGGACCCTAAGGTCTCTGGTCCAGAGAGAACATGTTTGAGTGCTTAGTAACTATAGATCTGAGCACTAATAGGTTGGCCTCTCAATTTTGTTAAATTGGCAGAGGCGATTGCACCAATTCTAGCTGCCTCCTGCAGCATTGCCTCCAGTGCTCAGATCTGGCATACTGTGTGTGTTATACTGCATCACAAAATGGGCGAGATGTTTGCCAAGTAGCATCCTGAACAAACTTCTAATCAGCATTCCCACTTGCCTCAGTGCTCTTCATCCTGCTGTGGCCCCTTGCTGTGTACCACAGACTGGGGCAGCGCATGTACATGAAGCTGGAGCCAGCTCTGCAGCGGCTGGATTTCAGCGTTCGAGGCTACATGATATCAAAGCAGCGGGAGAAGCAATGTAAGTTTCTGTACTGTGTTCCTGACCCTTGGTACCTGAAACAGCCTGTGAATCGAGCCCCTGGTCTTGGAGTGGGATAGGGCTGCATGTACGGCATGGCAGTCACTCCAGCGCCCTTGGCAAATACTTGCAGCTGCTTTGGGAAGGAAGCGAGGCAGCTCTGCCTCCGCAGGCATCTCCCAGTTAGCAGTTGGTGTAAGCTCTTCACAGTGCCGAGCCGCTCTGTTTCCCAGCTGCCAGAACTGTGTGTTCCATATTGCAGTTGCACTGAAAAAAGAGGAAGGACTCAGTGCAAGGTAGCTGCTAAACATGTTCATCTCGGCAAAAGATCTGCAGCAGCCCAAGTCAGAAATGATCGCGTTGCTCTGCTGTGGAACAAAGCATGCTGTGTTATGTCCAAGCTTGCCAGTTTAGGGTTTTTCTGCTCGGCATAAGGCTGGTCCTGTACAGACCACTGTCCTAGCAGCAATAATAAGCTTTGACTCTGGTTTCTGGCAGTGCGTCACCGATCCCTTAATCAGGAGGCTGTGGATGATGGGAGTGACAGCGAAGAGGAGCTTGCTGCATTCTGTCCCAAGGTAATGAAGCATCTCTGAAATAGAAGAGCTCAGCTGAATAGAACAAACTCGCTGCATTGCGTGGACACGCAGTGCATGGCCCCGTATCCAGCACGTTGTAGCTGAGTTGTGATGGAGTATCAGATGAGGATGTTCTCCTTTTAGAGAGGTCTGTCTCACTCAAGCATGTCCAGCGCAGCTTGTACCAACTACAGTCTCCTAGGCTGGGCAGTGAAGTGTGGAATGAGCCTCAGATACCAGCCTCCCATGAGGACTGGGTTTAACTGGCGGCCACTGGATCATGTGTTTTGTCTTGAGGCACAGGAATAAGCTTTCCCGTATTGATGTTTTCAATTTTATCTCCTACTTCAAAGCTGGATGACTCTGTGGTCGCCAAGGAACTAACCATCTCTGACTCGGAGCATTCGGATGCTGAGGTTTCCTACACTGAAAATGGGATGTTTAACCTTTCGAGGGGCCAGACTCCCCTGACGGAGGGATCAGAAGGTGAGAGGAAATGGGCAGTTTCTGGAAGGTGTGGAATGCTGAGCAGGCGCCGGTGCGATGGGTGGGAGAGAGGATGCATTCATTGCCTTCTGTCCTTTTGGTCTAGCTGTTTGATGTCTGTCTTGCTGGCTAAGACGAGATGCAACTACCTGTTTCTTCAGAACTGAGCTTCCTTAATTCCTGTGGTGCTTTAGTAGAGCAATGGCAGCTGCTCTTCAAAGGCAGATCCAGCTCTGCCAGTCTCTGGTTGTCGGGATACAGGTTGCAGTGGAAAGTCTGGGGGGTGCTTTCCTCTGGCGGAAGGTGTCTGGTTCAGCATCTGCATTCCTTTGTGAGTGAGCTGGGAGGTCAGCAGGCATCCCGAATAGCTGTGTGAGGGGGGAGATTAAAGAGCATTTGGTCTGTGAGATGACAAGAGACAGTCTGTCTTGGGGAGGTAATGGCCCGGCTTTTGTGTGCTGTGCTGCCCTTGCCTGCAGGGTGCTTGGCGTGTACTGTCTATTTAAAGCACTTTCTGCTCTTCTAGACCTGGACGGTCACAGCGATCCAGAAGAATCTTTTGCCAGGGATCTCCCTGACTTCCCTTCCATAAACCCGGAAGCAACTGGCATAGATGACGAAGATGACACCAGCATTGGGATCCCGAGTCTGGCTTACCGCCCACAAGTAACAGAAGATCTGCGTCTCCCTTACGACCAGGAAGAATCCGGTGCGCTGCCATCTGTACAGAATCTTACTAACAACATAGCCGGATTTGTCACCAGAGGGATGATACAGCTTGCGCTGTCAGGAGCCCCTCAGCCAGGCTCCTCGCGCAGCGACAATCCCCAGAGAGGTGCAAAGACTTACCTTAGAAGGGCCAGCTCGGACTTGGACACTGATGCGGAAGGGGATGACTTTGAACTGCTGGATCAGTCCGAGCTGAACCAGCTGGATCCTGCTGGCTCGCGGGGCCAGTAAGCAATCCCACCACTTCCCTCTGGTTTTCTATTGCGCATCGTGGAGGGGAATCCTGGAAGGAGAAGCCTTGCACCGTTACCTAGGTCGTCTCCTGTGTGAGTATGAGTGACGTGACAGCCAGTCCTGGCTGGGAACACCACTGTGACTTGTGACTCTGTAGCCTCGCTTGGATTTTAAAATAAACTACACTGGTAATTCATAGGGAAAAGACGTTGATGTGATAGCTCCACAATCACCCATGCGTTGCCCTGCACTGTCTGCCAGGATGCTGCTTGCTCCGAACTTCCTCACTTAAGACAATAAATCTGGTGTCTGCAGCTCTAGAGACCGTCGGTCAGACTGACTTAGCGTCGCCAAGGACAATCTTGAAACCGACCTTCCGGGGCTGATGTGTAACCAGGTGAAGGGGATTGGCTTCCCCTCAGACTTCGTGTCTGGGACTTGATGCTATCCTGTCTTTAAGACGACCATTCCCCGCTACGAAAATCTGCACAGAATCCAAGTCTTCTTTCCCAGCAATATCCAGCTCCGGGTAGAAACAAACCCCTTGCTCCTGTTGCGGACACGACGGTGCACGGCCACCATGTTTGTACTTGCGATGACCACTCATCTCTGGTTCCAGCTTTCTAGTGATGCTATTTTGTAAGAGACGTAATGGCAATAAGACATCTACTGTGATGACTAGAGTCCTGCAAAGAACATCTACATGTGGCAGCTGCTCTTGTGTTGCTTTCCTAAAATAACGGACTAACAATTTGCTAAACCCCCCCGTGCTCCTCCAGCGCACGTTCGGCGTGGACGGTGGCAATACTGCACTTCCCCTGTCGCTGCCTCTTGGGGAGCTGCTAGGGTCGGGTTTTCTGGAGGAGGGAAGAGGGGGAGCTGGTCTGCCCGGCCGGTTTTGTTCTGGTCCTGGGGCCAGCCCGCCGCTTCCCGGCCTTGTGCAGTTGAGAGCCCGCCGGCAGGAACCGAACGGGGGACACCAGCCCAAGCCACCAGTGACCGAAGAGCTCGTGCCCGCTGCGGTCACGTAAACAAACCAGCAGCCTGCAGGGGAGAGACGATCTGCCAGCTGGAGGGCCCGAGCCCCCCGGCCCCCCCGGCCTCTCTGAGCTTTCCCATTGCTTCTTCTAAGCCATAGAACCCGATTCCGATCGCATTTGTGCAGCAAAGAACGTACCTCTTCAGGGACACGCCTTTATCTGCCTCTTTTTGTCTAAATCTGCTTGCCTGACGGTGTTGGCCGTGCAGCCGCGTTGGCGGGCTGGGGTCAGGCGGGGGGCGGC